CTTTAACACCATCAAACAACCACATCTGCCTATGCCAGGTCCTTGGGAAGGACTCGATCGGTGGATAAAAATGCCAAATCCAGTCTAAACACCTGGTTGACTGTGTGACCAACCATCATGATGATTATGATGACGATGATGGTTTACAGTGCTGATAAGAGCGGAAGCCCCAGCGCTGCTGGCACCGCCACTGAGGAGTGCCGCTTCAAGCCCTGTGCCACGCCCAGCCACGCCAACACCAGCTGACCTTTGCCATCTTCTTTCTCCTGCTGCTGACAAGGTGTGCCTGGCCTGGCCCTGTGTGAGGCAGCTGCTGGCCGCATCAGGCCTTCTTCCCAAGGCCATGCAGAGGAGTGCCGCTGTGCAGGGCAGTCAAAAGGGCAGAGATGGTGGAAGAGATAGGCAGGTGGGGAGTGTTCAAGAGGAAGCAGTCCCTTACCTTATCAAGGCTCGGGGTTGGGAGGGACCAAGCCGGGAATGGCTTGGATTGGGGTGTGCCCTCATCTAACGACTGGTGGGATTCGGTTAACAATGGCAATGAGTACTGCTGGGATTTCCATCACTAAGTGATGGGGTCACGTGACATTGTGCTTAATGACCACATTGCTTAGCAATGGAAATTCCAGCCCCAATTATTGTTAACCGAGGACTACCTGTATATTCCTTCTAATGCCTAAACAGAGCCTCTCTCTATCTCGTTTCCTTTCTTCCATGATCAGTTACCTCTTCTTCTTCTCTCCAACTAGTTTTGCTCCATTCTTCATGAAACAAGGGAATGTGGGCTTGAAAAATATCTGTGTAGAGTAATGTTTCTTAGCCTTGGCAACTTTAATATGTCTGGACTTCAACTCCCAGAATTCCTTGCTGGCTGGGGAATTCTGGGAGTTGAAGTCCAGACATATTAAAGTTGCCAAGGTTGAGAAACACTGGTATAGAACTATTTGGAATTGAATGGAATTCATGCCATAGTTAGTAGTGAGCAAATAAATTAAAATACGTGTGTGTGTGTGTGTGTGTATCTAAACAACAACAAAAAGAGAAACAGCAGAGAATGCACAAATTACTTCTATCTTCTCTTCACCGACTACAGCAAGGCCTGTGACTACACGTACCCAGGCAGAATGTAGAACATAGTAAGACTAATGCATGTACTAGAACTCCTGATTCTTCTTTTCAGGAACCTACTGAAAGAACTCAGTTTGGAGTACAATGTGGTTCAACATAGAGAAGGGAACAAAAGAAGGACATGTATTGTCTTCATGCCTGTTTAACAGAGAGTGGTTATATTACAAAAATGGAACTGGAGAAGATGACAGAATCAAAATAGTAGGTTGAAACACATGGGCGATTTTTTTTAATCCGTTCAATCATGTCTGGTTCTCTGAGACTTCCTGGACAAGTCCCTGCAGTTTTCTTGCCAAGGTTTTTCACAAGTGCTTTGCCACTGCCTCCTTCCCAGGGCTGAGAGAAAGTGACTGGCCCAAGGTCACCGAGCTGGCTTTGTGCCTAGGTGAGAACTCATGGTTTCCTGGTTTCTAGCCTGATGCCTTAACCACTATACCAAACTGGCTGTCTAACATATAACAATGGTGTGATACAACATGGTGTGATGACCTATTATAACATGGGTGATACAACCTAGTACAAAATAAAGACTTAAAAAGGGTAGCAATGATGACTTCTGGTAGCAATGATGGAAAAAGGAAAATCCAGGATAATGTTAAATATTAAGATAAAGTTAACCTGCATGTTTAGTGAACTAATAGTAGATGAGGAGTAAGTGATGAGGAGTAGGTACCCAGTTTTGTTTTCCTGAGCTCAGGAATACCCAGAGATGAACAATGAGCTGGAGAAGTAAAGAGATTAATCCCAGCAAAGAGAGAAATGACAAATTTAGGATTATGAAAGATAACAACGACAAAAAAGAGGTTAAAATAGTTAAAAGCAGTGTCTTTCCAGTACTCATTTATTCCTGTGAAAGCTGGATATGGTAAAAGAGCGACAGGAAAACAGTTGCCTTCCATTTACTGAATTGGAAGTAAATTGTACTCAGTACTGTTTACTAAGAGTACCACAGAATGGAAGAGGAATTAATCAGTCATCCCCAGATGGCTCATAGTAATCAGGAAATAGAAATTTACATCCTTTGGGCAAATCATGTGAATGGCAGACTTAAAAAAAGGCTCAGCAAAATTGAATGGGTGTGCGTGTCTGTGTGGATGCTCTTTTTGCCATGATGGGCACACTGTTCTGTGAATGAAAACTTTACACAGGATTTTATTATGTCTCACATGTTCCCCAGTCTAAAGCTTTTGCCCTGGCTGGGCAGGGCTAATTCCACTCTCTTAGCCGTTGTGAGTTGG